AAAAAGTACAATTACCCCCCCTCCCCATCACACATTTAAAATATGTTTTAATGATGAGTGCCTGTGGACCAGCATACCATGGATGGACAGTGGTAAAGAGCATCTCCCTTTTTACAGATCTCGGAAGTGAGAGCAGCACAGTTAATTTCAGGACTATTCATCGCAAACTGGTTTTCAGAAACCAAGCTGTTTTATTAACACAATTGGGAATAAGCTTTGTAACATTAAATGCCTTTCAGGCAACCAAAGTTTACAAGCAGTTTCCTGTAGAAATGGAAATGGGAAAAATAAGTTTCCAAAATGGAACAGTTTTTCTATTGTTGCCCTTTGGGGGGCGCGTGTGGTTTGTGGAATGGTCAGTGTTCGGTCCAGTGCAGCAGTTAGACGTGATCCATGGAAATATGGATTAGCTGTAGGTAGTCCATTGAATTTGACAGAGATCTCACATGGAGCCTTCTATATTCTCTATCAGAACATGTTAATAACCTAATAAATAATTAGGAACACGTAAAAGGTTTATTCCATGCTGGAAAGAGAAGAAAGGAAATGCAAGGTTTTGGCTGTGGAGCCTTCTTCGGGTGAAACGTTGTTTCCTTTCTTCTCTTTCCAGCATGGAATAAACCTTTTACTTGTTCCTTTGTTGACTCGGCTACCTACTTCAACTAATAAATAATTATATTAATTTAGTACTTGTTTCTTTTTCAATCGTTTGAGTTGACATTTTCTCTGATAAATAGTATTCCAAGCTGAATGACAAGAAGTTGTGAAAGAAAGTCCAAGTGCCAAGGTAAAGTGTGATGCTACAATAACTTCCTCTGCGCTCTTCTCATGTGTAAAGTTTTTCCCAAGGTAATTTTACATAATAGTTGATTAACCATTATCCTTTGTTTCTTAATGAAAATAGTATAGACATTCTGTTCCTTACTACTTTTTTTTGTCCAACTTCGAATGCAAACAAAAAGGCCTGTTCAGTTTCTTTACCATTGTGTAAATGAGGATGTTGAATCAGAAAGGATTATTGAAACGCTTCTGTTTCATGATGCTTCACCCCTGAACACGAATTGTGCAACGATGATAGACCCTTTTAAGTGTGATATGAATAGGTTACATTTTTGTGATATGCTTCAAAACGTGTTAGTGCTCACAGCCCTGGTTAACACACCTCATTGCTTTCTTCATAGAAAATTAAATGAATCGTTTGCAAGAAGGGTAATAGGCTCTGTGTGTCAGCCCTTCACATCTGTCCTCTCTTTGTGAAATTAAATTTCCAGATGGTACATCATTTGCAGGTTAAGAAATGTATGGAGAGGCCCTAAACCCATCTTGCCACCCCCCAGTCTATGGACTGGCCCCAGTCCCTCCCTGCCAGCACGGCAATTAAACTATACTCTTTTTAGCACACGTGACCCTCAGAGGACGAGGGCTTTAAGGAACTTGTTCCTGGTATAAAAACAATAAGGAGAGTTTCTCGGCCATTAAAGTTGCAGGTTGAATTCTATGGCCCGGACCTGACTAGTTGCAGCCTGGTTCATGTCACTAACAAGGAGTCTGTGTCAGTTTTTGCATCTCGGTTTAGGACGGTGGTGCAGCTTGCAGCACAGCAGGTTGTACTCATGCTCCAAAATGCACAAGCTTGACTTGGATGGCTAGTGGCACACAAGGCTTTAGAAAATGGCAACCTCTGGCATTTTCGGTTCCCTGACTGAATGCTGACTTACCTTGCGAGGGCAATGAAATGTCTTAGTCCTCTGCTGAGCTACAGAACTGCCCTTATTTGGCCATCCTTTAACGGGCTGTGGGGAGGAAGATATTGCATTGAAGAGCTCATTGTGGAGAGAGCTGTGGATCGTAGTGTTGGGTGTCACCTGGGGGATGATTGGAGCCCGTGAACATTACTTGGGGGATCCTTCTCCACAGCAGGGGAGTGTGGAGAGACCGTTAAGCAGACACACTAGGATTATGGGGATGGCAAACGTCTCAGCTTCACAGGGGTTTTGTCATACGATGACTTTAATACAGCCACAAACTGAGTGGAGCTTGGCATGAAACATTTACATATTTTAAAAGATATCTTTATCTAAAGTGATGTAACATTTAAAGCAGCATTGCTGAACAGGGTAAAAAACGTATTTGGTGTAATACTGCCAAGTGGTATAATAAAAAAAAACACTTACCAGTCAAGACTAGCAGACACTTCCAATAACTGAAGTTATTGACAGATGTAATTCCAATTTACTCTACATTTTTTCTTAGTGGTTGTACTCTGTGGTTATTTAATTTACAATTGAATCAAGTAACAATTTAAGTTGGTTACCCCTGATAAAAATGAAAAAATAAAGCATTAAATACATTTACAATCCATTAAGAAAGAATCTCTGTTGTGGTATGTGATACTCTATTTTTCTGGTTGGGATCCTTATAAATTACACCCATTAGACCAATTGTACAGTAAAAAAATGCCTTATAAAGAAAACTCTTTTGTTGAACTATAATAATTTTAATGACCCTTAAAGCTTCAAAAACTTTAATAGGTGCTTTCTTAACGATACATATTTTAAAAAACAAATCATATTGTTTTGATCCAATATTTCTCTTTCAAGTGCAGAAGATAGCTTAAACATTATAATACACAATTATAGGTAATTAAGAGAACTACAAATCATAGAAATCCGTTCCCCATCTTTGCAGTTTGGATAAATTATACTAGATGGCGCACTTGAGTTATGATTTGGTGGCGAGATTAGTTCAGTGTACACTGCTACAGACCATAGAACTGTAGATGCACAAATGAGTGCTTTTTAAACGGGAACATATTTTTTTTTATAATGGTAGTCAATTAAGGATTTAAATATCCAAAAGCATAGTGACAAATGTTGCCTTTTTAATTATTTAGAAAAATGCAGATGTAGAGAAATGCAAAGATTTCCGTGCAGTCTGTTAACAACTATTCTGTGCTGCTGTGAAAACAGTACTCTAAAAAGACTCTTGTACATTAGAGATTAGTTATCCTGCACACATTTTAACTTCCCTCCAGGGACATTTTAAATCAAAAATATTTTTTGCAAAGAGACCTTTTTGAAGGATTGGAGAAAACCATATAGATGTGTGCGGACACTTGATATAAACCAGTGAGGTAAAAAGCTATAATGGGCATGTGTAACTCGTGTGAATAGATGTCAGTTAATGATGATGGCAGATCTAAAGAAGAGAAAAAGAACTGACAATTTGTTAAGTAGACAAATCAGAAGTCTCGGAGTATATATACTGTATATATGGTTTAGAATCCTCAAAAAAAACATTATAAAGGTACATTGTTAGGACAATAGACTACCAAATACATATGTTTACTATAACATGTTATCAGCACTATATAATGATTTAAATTGCATCTATTCGCTTAATGGTGTGCATAAAGAAGTTGTTTTTGTGGGAAACTTAGACGTACACTGTGTAAGAAAGCAATCATTAAGTGGTCTACCATTTAGGTTTCTGCTGCTGACAGACCCAGTTTATTGAAGCACGTACGAAAGAAGAGGTTTTGATCCAATTTTCAAATCTGAAGTAAACAGGTGAGAGAACTGTTAGGCAGATTTGATCTAAACATCATATGCTACAAGGTATACTGTGACACTGTTCAGATGCATTACAGTTGTTTACAATTCCTGGAAAGATGTCCTTCAGAGGAGGAAGTGAATGAGATGGGATCAGTGGAGAAAAGATGGCAGTGTTTTATTAATGATCTTCAATTATCCCAAGAGGGAGTAATCCGAGAGCTAAAGAACTATATCTCAAATAGTTCAATAGACCCATCAGGAAAAATATATAAAATGATTTTAAAAAATAAGTTAAAGATAAAGGATTGCAATCATAGCTAAAAAAAGGGATCTTAGAGAGATGGAAAGCAATTTGCATTGGAGGCAAAAATAATTCAAACAATGAAAACAAAATAGTTGATGCACTAAATGAGTATTTAAATCATATGTCAGCTAGGGAAGAGGTCCACAATCTGTCTCTGAAGGAAGAAGGACAAGTCTTTATTTTAAATAAGTATAACCATAGAAGAGACTGAAGCACTCTGGGGAACTAGAAGCACGGAAGATTAAGAAATCCACAGGCTTGATGGTAACTTGCCAGTTGTACTCAAGGAAATGAGATGTTTTTCAAAAGCCACTGACTCAAGTCTTCCAACAGTCACTCAAGACAGAGGTACTACCCGTGCATCGGAGAACTGCCCGTGATGGCCCCATACACGAGATTAACAAACTCGCCCAAGTAATTATAAACCAATAAGTCTGATGTCTGTTATGAACATGTAAGATTATGGAAACAATTGAGAACCAGAAAAAAAAGATTGCCTATATGGAAATAATATAAACAGGAAGTGTTTTACATGCTGATACAAACAAAATGGGAAACATCTGTGCTAAAAGAGGCTACTTACGAAGAAGACTTAGGTGCTTCTTTTGATGCATCAAACATTGTCTACAGTCTTGTACAATTGGGGGAAGCAATAATGAAGGCAGACAATGTTGTTAGATGTTCTGATGGGATGCTCTATTGAAATTGTATAACGAACTGCTAAGGCCTCATCTGCAGTATTGTATAGAATTTTGGTCTGAATCCTTCCAGAGAAGAGCAACCAGATGTGGCTGAAGAGAATGTTCTACACTGACTGAAGGACCTGAACCTTTTTAGACCTGACACAAATAGTCAAATTCTTCAAAGGTATTGACAAAGTGGACTTATTCAGAACAGACAGTGAATTGTGAACTAGAGGACACAAATTGAAACTAAATGGAAGTGCATTTAAAACTGAGAAACTAAGTGTTTAGCCAGATGTTTGTTTGAGTGCAGAACAAGTGACCCAGCTGTGTTATTGAAACTAATATCTTTGCTTCCTTCAAGATGCGGCTTGATGAGATGTTTGGATCATTAAGCTACTAACTACCAAAGTCTGGCCTTTTCTCATTCATAACCATTATTGTATTCTTGTCTTGCAGGTGCTGTAATGTAATGTTGCTGTTCCAGATGTGCGCATTCTGATATTTCCACCCATTTGCCACAGTCCACAGACTTTAAAGCCACCAGCTCAAGATGATCTCCAGGACGCTTCTTGTCCTTGCTGTTATTCATGTGCAATTCGTAGTGGTCTGCTTCTCCACTCATGCAGGGACTTCCCAGGTTTCGGATGTCAGTCACCAGGAAAATAAAACTCAGTGCGCTTCTGCATGTAAGTGTTGTCTTCAGTCTGTTGCTTTTCCAAGAACAGAAGGTGGTAGATGTTGATTCGGCCACCAGATTTCAATCTTCCTGAGACTAATTGGACCCAAATAACAGACATTTGCCTGAAAGATCAAAGGAATCCAAAAGACGCTATGGACAATGTTACAATTAAGAACACAAATGTAGGATGTGAAAATCATCTAAAGTTATTTTGTCACATTAGAATATTAGACCTTCATGTGCACATATCAGTTCATTGGAAATAACTTGCTATATGAAATATCATGTTCTGTATGAAAACTAAGCTAGGTTTGTTTACACTTTTAACTGGAACTTCGCCAACTCCTGATATTTCAACTTCCCCTTATAAGCAGAAGTGTAAAAGCAAAAGGGTTGTCAATATCTAAAAAACACGCTTATTTGAGGGCTGTATAATTTCAAAGGCACCATGTGTTTCAGATTTAACATTAAAGGAATGCTTGGGCCTTAGCTGTGTTTATGAGCTTGGTGCTGCACTGGAGAACTGTTTCTGAAGTCTTTGTCGTAACATGTTCTTTCTAATTAAAATCACACACCGCCCAGCACCACACACGGTGTTGTGGGGGCACACAACCTTGGTGTCTGTGGCAAAGTAAAAACAGAAGTGAGGAGAATGGAGAAACTGCACAGTGGGTGCAGATTGCAAAAGCGTCTTGTTGTGTGTGTGTGTATATACAGTAGACTGGAAAGGATTATTTAGCCACCCCCTGTCCCAGCCAAACTATAGGATTTCCAAAGGGCTTACGCTGAAATGTGGGTTATGTGAAGGGCATAAAGACAAAGTCAGCAGTACCATCTGGAAATGTGCAGCATGGTATGAAGGAGCATTCAGCACGCCTTTTCAAAGGACTCGACCACAACAGACACTTGAAGGAGCGAGGGGCTGGAATACTTGGTGCTGAGAAAAGCACTTCACCTCCATTTTGATCCCAAATCCATTTTTATGCAGATGAATAAAGATGTAGAATCAATTCAAGCCACTTGGGGGGGGGGGAGGATCAGACTTTATAAACAATTCATTCGATTAATTTGTTCCAGAAAAATAAGTGTTTTCTTCTACTTGAATCGTGTTTGAGTGGAAGAAAACTATTTTGAATAATTCCAGAGCCAGGCAGAACATGAGTTAATGAAAGTAGTGTTTACACTGACAAGCAACAAAGCACTTAGAATTAATGTAACCCTGTTTTCTGAGAGAGTGCCATCTATAGTTGTTTAAAAATAACTAGAGATGACATTGGCTTCTGTTGTACAGTGCAAAGCTCTGAATTCCCAAGGTTATGCTCTGAAAACGTGGCTTGGCTGAATCTCTTGACATATCACACTAAATTAGTTTTATTTCTGCCACCTAACATAGTTTGTTGTCCCATTTAGTCTCAACATGATTGTTACAGTGCGGTAGCAACATATTGCACGGAAGTCAAATTATTCTTTGACGTTTAAAAGATAATTTCTTGTGATGATACATGTAAAGCCACTGAAGTGGATTCTCTCTCTTGGGGGGGGAGGAATCTTATTCCGGAGACGGTCTTACATCCTGAACACTTTTTTTTTTTTATTCTCTGGTATTAAAGAAAGGCAATCTGCCCAGGAATTTTGGATTTGAAACAAAGAAACTGTGTTGTGTAAATTGTTTGGTTTATATATCTCCAAGAAAGATAATGTTGTCTTTCGCTTTTTGGTTCACCCAAGCCAAATATGGTGTTTTCTTTGCAATGGCATTCTTTTTGTGATATTTGAGATTTTTAAAATGTTTTTCCATAAGCAAACAACTCTGAAGGCCCAGCATAAGCGTGAGCTTCCTTATTCGTGTGTTTTTCTACTGCGCGTGCTAATAAATGGATCATTCAGAATAAAAACAGCTAGAGATCAACACCGATATCCAGAGAGTAGTCAGGTTATTTTTGTGGACTGTGTTTTGAGTGGAATAAATATATTTTCTATTTAGAAAGAAACGCAGTGGTGCATTGAAGCTACAGTGAATTATAATAAGAATATTTATTGAAAATAAGAATTTTTTATTGTTTTCATAATCCATTCATTTTCCGATCGTTTCATCAAATTGACGATGGAGGGGAAGCCGGACCCTATCTCGGCAAGCAACGGGTTCAAGGCAGGACAAACCTAGATGAGACACCTGTTCAGTGCAGGGTGCATGGTCACAAACGCACACACTCACAGCAGAGCCAGTTTTCCCAAAAGCGAATTAACCTGCCAGTATGTGTTTGGAGTGTGGGAGGAAACCAGCAGATACAAACTCCATTCTGATAGGTACCGAAGTCTGGTGAATGCAGGGCCCAAAGTCTACAAGGCAGCAGTACTAGCCACTGTTTCCCTGTGGCACTCATCACTCAGATTCTTCATCATCATCATCATCATCATCAGTGTTTTTATCACTGTAATCCATTCATCTATAGAACAAGGAATATCCGCTTCTGGCCACAGTGTCCTCGTCAGGAAAGCATGAATTTAAATTCCTAATGGTGTGTGTGTGCGTCTGTTTTGCAGGTGAAAACAGCACAGGCTGTATGTGGTCTTTCTTTAATGAAACCGGAAAACAGTGCTTTTTCTTAAAGTGCCCTAATGTGTCCATTTGCCAAAATCTCACCTTGGAAGACATTCAACAAAATTCAGGTACGTGCATGAGTGTGGGTCCAAGCAGAACCGATTCCTAGACGTGCACTAGACTTTCCTCTTTAATTAAAGAAGCGCCTGAATAGCTGCTAGCTGTCTGTGACCAGGGTTCCCTTTAGCAAGCTGATTTGGGTGGTTTTTAAATGGCAAATTCTAAAAATGCAATTATAGCAGTAGAAATTGCTTGCTTTTCAAAATTGATGGCATTCGCCCAGACCATTTTCAAGGGTTAATATAATTTTGATAACAAGCTTGGATTCTTAGCTGCTTCACAAAGAGCATTCTAGCATTCTATTGTAGGTAAAATATCAGGAAATAAATCCTCAAAATATATTTTTACTGTTTAAAACTTGTTTACCGCAGTGCTACAGTACATCATTTTGCTTCTCGCGTCTTATTGTCTGAGTATTACATGCTTATGAGAAACTGTTGTAGTTCTTATAGTATCCTTTCATTAGTTAACAAAAAGTCCTAGTTCGCCCACATCTGGAACATTGAATTCAGTTTTGGCCATAGCAAAAATGGACATAAACAACTTTGAAAAGATCCAGAGAAATACTGTTACGCTTCTCCCCAGGAAGAAAGTCATGAGTTATGAACAATTGACAGAGCTACATCTTTTTACTCTTTGTAGTTGATGGATGGCCCAGGGGAGAGTTGGAATGACCTTTTTATGAAAATCTTGGAAGCAATGATAAAGGTTGATTCCAAGGGTTATTTCAAATTCATCCACTCCGTTTTCTGTCAGAGAGCCGTTTCTCCTCAGAATGATTTGCCATGTCATGACTTTGTATCGGTAGACTGGGATCCATCAAGAATCGGCTAGAAAGCACATTTGGATCACAGGAAGGGAGGTCTGGCAAGTCAAGGGCATTGCTTTACTGTTCTTAAAAATAAAAACCATACTTTAGCGGTAATAATCGGACTCAGAGGTGCGTACATCTGCAGACAAGCTGAATGCTCAAGAGTTCTTGTTTATCCTTGCAGACACCAGAAGGGAAGGAAGCTCTGCACTCCAGAACTCCTCTCCTGCAGTCCCATCCCCAGCGTCTGAACCAGGCCCTTCTATGTTAGTATCGCCAACAGCGTTGACAAGAGCCACATCCTCACCTGCCACAGCAGCCAGAGCAACGTCACTGGCTGCCACCAGTACCCCCTCCAGCAACAGTAGAGCCACGGCAACGTCATTTCCTGCCTCTGTGGCTACAAACACCTCACCAATTCAGGACTTGAATGCCTCTTCGCCTACTATAGAAGGAAACCCTGAATCCCATGTGCCCAGCTCTGGCAGCTTAAACACCACCCAAGAACAGAACACATCGTCCTCTGTAAATAATTCTTCACCAGAGACCCCATCGCTGACTAGCCCCTCAAATACTTCAACGCCAAACGCTGGGTCCCCTGAACTTCCACTGCAAAGCATTCCATCGCCTTCTTCCATGGTTCCTCCACAAACCACTGCCGCATCCCTGAGGACCGTGTCAGCCGAAGTGCCAGTCACCGTATCGACCAACACCACGGCTGCTCAAACTCCGCAAGGGGAAGCCCGGAGTTCCCCAGCTAGCGCCTCGGAGACAACGAAGATGACCGCAGTGACAACTGCTGCAACAACAACCGCAACAACAACAGCAAAAACCAAGGAGGCTCCAGTGGCAGCCACAGTGAAGGCCAGCATCCCTCAGTCTACCACGCACAGTGCAGCCTCAACCTCTCAGCCCAGGCACGTATCGGAAAGCCTTCCAGGCAACATGTCCACCTCGCGTAAAACTACCATGGGAAATGGGGAAATAACTGATAAAGGCCTTTTAGGCATCGCTGCCGGGCCACTTACCAGGCAGCTGGTGGACACTAGCTCCCTGCTTGCTGTATTTCTCTTTGGACTTCTGTTTTTTCTTGTGACTGTAGTCTTGTTCCTCACACAAGCTTATGAGAGCTATAAAAAGAAAGACTACACCCAAGTGGATTATTTAATTAATGGAATGTATTCCGATTCAGGAGTTTGACTTTTTTTTTCCACAGAAACTATTTTTTGTCCGATATCCTGAGAAACTAAGATAAGGTTTACGAAGGGTATGGTGTGCCAACTTTAATTAAGAAAACATTGCTTCCAAGACTCGAGGTACTACATGGTTAGCTACTCATCAGAACATCTGTAAGGCTTATCCATACTTTAATCTCTTGAATCCTGCAATTATATGTGTAGTTCTTCCTCATACTTAAGCTGACCAAACTCCGTCTTAAAAAATTCTGACCTCTAGTACATTGAGTTAAGTTCACAAAACGGCTCAATGGCTCTACAGAGCATATTTTACATTTTTTGTCTATGCAGATGGTGCTCCCTTTTAGAATTAATACAAATGAGATATACACCTGAACACTGAAGCTTAAGTATTTGTCAAACCCTATCATTTATCTGTGAATAGTTTTTCTGTTAAGGGTCAAGATCTTCTGTAAATAGTTTTTTTTTTCTTTCTTTATGCATCCACTACTGTTTGGTGGATTAATACGGTACTGCATATATTTTCTTTAATATTTATTTTATATCAATATGCTTTCCTGAAGATAAGACATGATCGCATTTACAGTATCTTCCACTGATGTTCCACTTGGTGATGGGATGCCAAATGCCTAAGTAAAGCACATACTTAAAGCCAATGGAATTGCTAAGCCATTTAAAGTGTACTCCATGAACTAACAAACTCAGTTTAGAACAATAGGACTTAACAATGAATATGAACCTCAAAACATGGAATAATGCAGATCAGAATGTCTCTGTGCCAACTTGCGTAAGTATTATTTTTTTACTAACGCAGTGTTGAAAAATGAAACGGGTTTTGCAATAATAAAAACTAAAAACAATTTGGTCATAGTTTGTTTATTTTGAAGTTAAGGTTTTCAAACCTGCTGCTTTTTATTTGATAGAAGGAAGAACATACCAAATATGTGAAGACGCTCTTTTTCGTTACTATCCTGTAATGGTTCACCATTGGGAAGCCTGCATGTTGATGGAGTAACTGGGAGAGCCTCATCAACCATGTCTTGTGCAGCTGTTGTGAATCGCGGTACTACACCTTGGCTCTTTTAAAAACGCTAAACTGCAAGTTATTTCAGTTACTTTTACTTTTTTTTGTACCATCACAATTCGGAAGCAGCAGTTGGTGATTTTGAACAAGGACGAGGAAGGGGGCTCGGACGAAATAACTCTGAACACCATTACTCCATTCTACCCACTGATGAGCCACTTTCAAACACTGTGTGCCTAACAGGGGGGTTGTTAACTGAAGGAAGGAAGCCTCTTGGTGATGAAAGTACATGCAGCTCATGGGTACACTCCGGCTCCCAGGGGTTGCTTTTGCGTAGTAAGCTGAGAATTCCCAGGCTCTCGCATGCATCCAATCGGAGCAGCACTTGGCAACTACAGTGGACTGTAGTCAGCTGTACTGTAGACTAGTCACAAATTCCAGGCTCTGACCAGAGATGTCTGGACTACAGGCCTCGGCTTGCATCTAGAGTGAAACATGCATGCTCATCCTGAAGGAACCAAGGCATGCTAGCACATATGTGTCCTACCTAATTAGACCGCTGTTTAGAAGAATATTCTTAGCAAATAAATCAAATGATGACCACAGAGTACCTATCTGGACACATAACTGTAATAAAGAGTGTTTTGCTCTCTTCCTCTGCTTGTGTGCTGAACGAACTGTTGTCAGTCTTGCACTATGACTCATTTGGTCCTTTCCAGGAGCACTTTAGGAAGTTGTGTTTTGCCTCAGAAATAACAGTGACTTGTTTACTTCAATAAATTATTTACAAATTCCAGAATGCAATTCTGTGGAAGACCAACAATTCAGATTATATCAGCCTGGGCTGCTGACATGGTAATGGTATTCAATATTTCAGTAAGCAGTTTATGTAAGTCATTTAATGGAGGTTGGGAAGTATGCTCAGGTACTGCAGCAGACAGATACACGTTAGTGATAATTTAGAGATCAAAGATTCTGCCAATAAACCTAGAGGGTTAATTTCAATGAGGAATTGAAGTCATAATCCTTAATATCCCCTGTCCATAAAAAGGATATGGATGTATGCTCAGTCTTTTTTTAAAAAAAAAAAACAGTATTGCATTACCGTATCTATTTGCTCCCAAAGCCAATTAATGTGCACTCAGTGTCAGGTTTTAGCACTTAACTACATAAAAGCAGAGCTGTACTGTAAGCACATCAAAGGAACTGGCACTAAGTTTTATCCCATTGTGAATGATATTTCTTGTGTACTTTTCTAAGGCTGCTAAATTAGAAACAGGCCAATTTGGATTAATCAGGTAGGAAATACAGAACATTTCATACAGAAGGGTGTGGGGTAGTGAGTGCATTTGACTATTCTTTTTTTTTGTCAGTTGATATAGTCAAGAATCCATTGTTAGAAAAAAGTATTGTTTGCCCAGGGCTGATTTGAAGGAAGCTCTTATCTTCCCATATGGGAAAGAGGATTAATTTAAATGCATTCAACTACATAAGTTAAATAATACATTATAAAGAGACCACCTTTTATATTGGAAGGTTGGAAACAGTAGAGATCTTACCCAAGTGTAATTTTTAGTTTCCACTGCTTTTAGGCTTGTTTCTCTGAATACTTAAATTTGTGAAAAAAGAAAACTGAGCTCTTGTGCAGTAATTGAAATCTGGGAACATAGCAACAGCTGTAAAATAAAATAATCAGGAACAAGGTGCAGATGCAGCGTTTGTGTTCAAGCAAAGCAAGGGCTCTGGAAATTTAATTGGCAGAGAGGCAAGTAATGAGTCGGTACACTTTTATTCGGGAATTTCAGACACCTTTAAAGGGGGCACATCAGGGAGGCGATTTTTAAGTGAAAACAAAAGCAAACTGGAAAAACATGGCTCAGATTAAAATGACTGTGAAGGGTTCCAGCTCTATCTTGCAGCCAGATCGACACGCCAACCTCTGCACTGCAGTGTCTGCACTTCAGATTGCCTTTTAAAGACTGTTTACATGCATTTTTAAACCCTGATCATTCACACTTTCTTCCTGACCGTCTAACCCATGCCAGATGGTTTGCAAAAACCAAAGAACGTCTTCCAGTGATCTCGTATTAAATCGGGTTTTGGGTGAAAGTAAGGAGTTGCTTCATTTCAAAGTTTCACAATCATTTTCCTGCTGCATGTGGGGACTTTTAATGGATTCTCATTAGTGGCATTAATGGCGTCAGGAAAGAGAGACGTATATATCAAATGTTCAGTTTCGCATTGTGCTTCTACAGTGCCAGATGAACTTTTTAACAGTTGAATCTTGTTGTTTCTCCAGCTAACCACTCCACGCACTGCTCTTACGAAGCGCATGCGTCGGGATCTGCAAACAACACCGTTGTGTGGCTAAGTTGAGAACAGGTTTTTGGGAGGTGGAAGTCCTAGCCTCCAGGACATGCTCTGGTATTATCTGGTGTTATGAGTGTTTAGTGCTGAATATGGAATGAGGATTTAGCGAGAAGCTGCTGTACACCATGAATGTGTAAGCCTTTGTCTGGAGTGTGCTGCTCCCAGATGTTCCTCATTATGGCATGAAGAGGATTGGTTACAATGAAGCCAGTGTATATTACTGTAAACCCAATATTTATAAGCAGTCAAAAACCACAGGAAGGCAGATCTTTCATAGGCAGAGTATGCTAGATCAAAGAAAATGCTAAAGGCTACTCTACGTGCAGGTGACCATGAAGGCAGGTTTTATTACACTGGTTTTTCAATGTGCTGGGAATTTTGGCCCCTTCATTCATATACCTTGATTAAGACGAGCTTTAGATTTTACAGAGTGAGTGACAGCCTACGTTATCAACCAGAGAAAGACTTCAGTGTCCGCTGGGAGCTTATGTAGAATGGCCAGGACTTGCCACTCCTCAAACCCCACATGAAGAAATGGGAATGTTTTCTAACTGAGTTTCTTTACATGAGATTTTTTTTTTAATTAAAACCGGCAATACTCAACACTGAAAAATACACATTAAAAATGCAAACTTCTGTTTTGTTTTTTTTCATTTTCCTTTGGTGTCATAAAGATCAGGTGCAAAATTAAATGATTGATCAGAACTGGCATGGATGGACAATGGACATTGTGTCTAAAACAAACATAATTTCAATGCATTCCCACAAACCAGTGCTCGTTGAACATGCATGCAAATCAGGAGTGTGGCTTGCATTGACCAAAGTATATGAGCTCCTACCCTGTGGTCATTGTTCAGAATGAGAAAAAGCAGATTGATTTCCCAGCAAAACCAATTCAAAGATCTTGGAAACAGACTGAAGAGCAGGACTAAATGAGTGACTTTTCTCAGGGACTCTGTCTGCATAATGTAAAGGTGAACAACTGCAAACACTTATCTATGAACACAACACATAACATTGGGCATAGTGTACCGAAGAATGTGTCCGCTTTCTCAACCTCTGGAAGTCTTTTCTGTCTTACAGTCCACGCATATTTTTAAAGTAAAAAACAGATTAGAGTAAAAACAGCATAAACATACCCTCCTCTGTCATGAATAAGTCACTGTAGCTGGTATCCATCTCCTTACCCAACATCCTTCGTGTTGCTGTAGACTGGACTGTAGCTTATCAGCCCGTTTTCTCTCCATGCCTCAGACCACCAGGGTAAACAGTGCTGAGGTCATAGGGATGGGCAAATAGCAGCCCCTTCCATACCATTCCATAGTTGGATGTTGGTATGTCTCATTCATGTTGAGCACTTATAAATTAAGACCTGACAGCGCCAAAAGCTTGAGATGGAGTTAATTAGAAACTCTCATATTTGACTGTTCTGGCACTGCAGACATGGAGAAGCAGCCAAGGGCAAATGTTCCAGCTAAACACACCATTTTGTGATTTAAGAACACTGCACACTTGAAATGCTGCTGATTTACCCCTACATAGTGGTTTGGAGATGGAGCTGTCCTTCAAAGTGAATGTGAAAAATGGGTTTCCTAAATTCCAGTTGCTCAATGCCATTTGTATATGAACCCCATGCTTTATCAGACATGTCGGTGCTTTTTGTACAGCCCAGAGTACCCCAATTGTATTTATAACACTGCTAATAATGTGCTCTTGTAATGGTGAAAAAATGCTTTTAAAGAAAAGGGAAAACATGGACAACACATTACAGTGCGGCAAACTCTGACTAAAACCGTAATACAATACTGCTTTCTTTATCCACTATTATAAGGCTTCGATACCAGATCTTGTCTTTATTTTAATAAGAAGAGTTTGTAATCCTTGGACTGGAAAGACTGCTCGACTAATCCAAGGTTCTGTGTAAAATAACAAGGGGAAACGCTCAAACAGCCCTGCTGTCAATTATTCTGAGATTGTACGACTTAACAAAAAATGAAATGTTTTTCGAATGCGAAGCAATACTTTGTACAGTTTCGTTCTACGAAAAACAGCAGAATATTCTGTTGAACCCATCGTTTGCTGCTTGCAAAGACACAGGTGTAAAATCAAGAAGCGTCCGAGATCCGTTCATGTCTGCACTGCAAACTAGAATATTTTGAATCACGTTCATGATTTCGTATGAGGGTGAGAAGGAAAATAACGATAAAACCGATAAAAAACGACAACATCGATAAAACCACCATACACGCATAGGCCTATACATATGAGTGTTTTCCTGTGTATGGGTTTTGTAATATCATGGTGAATTAGAATGTTGCTATTGAAAAGATGCCTTTTGTCCCTATTCAATGTAAAAAAAACAATTTAGAAAATTCAGTTAGTTGATATTCTGCTTTAGTCATTTAAAATAACGATTTAAGAGACTGAGAAGCTCAAATATTCTATTCACCAGGCTTTAATTACAATCCGGAATAAAATTCTTACAAGTTGACTATTTTTTAGCAGGTCTTCCTTGAAAATATACAAATAAATGACTCGAATGCATAAAAGCCACAGCTGGCTCTTCCACTGAAGAAATATGGTCATCATGAGACATAAACGAATGGTCTTATTGGAGGTATCGATCTTGTTATAGGACACCCTTGACCTCACGCTGATCATTGGTGTATTACTAGAGCTCGTTGTGCTTTACTGCATTATGTAGCTTTCACCATTGTAATATTTTTACGTGGGAAGGTACCGTGTAATACAATCACCTTACATTCAGACTTGCATGAGTAAGTACTTGGAGGTTAGAAGTGGCCAGTTACACAATAGCACAATAGCTACACAAAATCAGTCCAGAGCATTAAATCAACAAATAATTCGTGGACATTGGCGCAGATAAATGTGATTAAAAGAAATTTCAATCGGCATCTATTCTTAGAAAAAAGTAATAGGTTTACTCCATGCTGAAAAAAAGAAGAAAGAGAACACAACGTTTCGGCCGCGGAGCTTTCTTCATCTATTCTTAGAACCGAGGTACAGATTGAAAGGGAGAAACAGATTTTAATGTAGAGGTCAAAGCTCTTTTCTAACTTCGAGCGACACCTAGTTTCCGTCTCTTTCCACGGGTTGCCACAGTTCGTGTAAAACTTGGACTTTAATAAAACTGCCGCAATGAATTTTTTAAGTTAAAGGTATCGATGAGGAACCTTTTCACTTTTTGTAATTGTCTGAAATAAATCTGACTACATTCTACAATCTACAGCATACAACAATTGTTTTTGTTTTTAATTACAGAATTCTTCCAAAACATAAAATTGTTTACATTAATTAAAATAATGTGCCTTTTTAATTGTTTGAAAAACTTCACGCAGAGTGAGCTTTAATGTAGTTCTTTGCTCGTCAGCTCCAGGGGTACATTTTCAAATATATAGCAGAGGCCACAAATAATTGCGGTGGGCGCTATCAGGTTCTGTGAAGAAAAATGAAAATAGATCTTATATTATACAGATTTAGATGATATTCAATGATACAGCTTCGCACCACTGAGGAATGGAACCAGCTACCAGTGTGAACAAAAAAAAACATCCAATGTATAGCGAAGGACATAAAAACGCAGTGCAGAAACTTAAAAGCAGGCTAAATTAGTTAACAGATCACCTGAACTTAAACGGTATCTCAGACTGCTCGAGGTATGTCTTGCTGTTGTGGAGCAGCCCCTCTTGGTCACTGAGAGAGACGGGCTCTTGATGCAGTAGCTGGACTGCAGTCGAGTTTGTCCAGTGACGTCACCCGGTTTCCGCTGTCAGTCGCAGCTCTCCTCTGATCCTTGCAGGCTGGCGCTGAGCTTCTCACAAAGTAACCACCGAAACACTCTCTCGGATACAAACTTTTCTTCTTGCACAAGTTATTTCAAAGTATGGAGCCGGAGTAACGAAACGTAGCGCCGCGAGCACTTGCGATGGGGGCTTTTCTTGCCGGGTTACTGCTGTACAGTCTGTTCTGCGTACTTGATGGTGAGTTTGTGTGACTTTGTTTTTAAGATCCCGAAGCTGATGAAATGAGAACATTGTGCTTGTTAAGAATAAGGAACCAGTATGGCTCCCGGATTCATATAAGGATTGTACATATAGTTTTAACTATATAAGGGAAAACGTGGTAGTTTTCAACGAAATAAAACCTTTTCATATGATGGATACGCTTTCGGGGTGCAATGTAAGTTACCATGTTTTCAGTGTGTGCTGTAAATTAAGAGTAAGCGCTGGAGTCTGCTGTCTTTCTCAATTGCGAGACTTTATCTTGGCTCGCCTTCTTCAGAGGTTGAGATTTCCCCTCTTAAGAAGAGCCTGCTGGTCTCAGACACGGTCGTTAAAACACACGGCAGCGACTGCGTTTTTGCACAAAAGTGTAACATAGTGGTAGTGAATAAAAGAAAAACACTTTTTTTTCCTCCCTTCCCCCGAGGCCTCGGTGCGCTACGATTGATTGTCGGTGTCGGGTGTCACACGAAGTTTAGATCCCTTTGACTTCAGAAACATCTGCTGCGAGAGGAAAAAAAAAATAACCCGCGATCTTTTTCTTCTGCCTTCCTGGTAGTCTGTCCTGGAGTCCGAGGTCTAAATGTATCATCATCATCGAAATTATTTTGATTGTTGTAACAGCGGAGCGCCGTGGGTAACTTGTTGATGCGGGAAACATCTGTTTAAAGAATATCGTCCCAGCAAGCAGAAAAGAGACGTTTCAACTCTCGGTCTTGCCGTAATATTTGGAACTAAAGTTCACAGATGCACTACAGAGCAAATAACGAAATGTCCAGGAAACCTCTTTGTTTGTTTGTTTAGGATTGTGCGCTTATAAACATGGCTTGTGTTTTCTTCGGAGTTTACCTGTGAAATGGAAGTGCTGTTCATTTCGAAAAAAAATAAAAGACGTGCTCTCGTGTTTTTTTTATACATAGGACTTCAGCATATAAGCAAAAGAAATAAAGACATACATGTAAACTTGTGAATAAAGTCATGAAAGTAGTTCAGTCCCCCGCTGAAAGGTCTTTTTTAGTTTGAATGTCCGGTCTGCAGGGTGGCCGTGACATTTGAATCACAAAATTCATACTATTGTAGTCATTCTTTTCTGATGGAATTATTTTTAACAAATGTGTGTCAAAACAAAAAACAGCATTTCTGCAGAATTCCGCAGTGTGACAGAACACACGGGTTTTCCTAAACGACATCCCTGGTGTATTTTCACACCTTAAAGAATCGTTTTTTTTATTAATAGCTTTAAGTAAATAAAGAATTCATTTATTGACGCTCTTTTTAAAACGCTCTTAAAAACTGACATTCAGACGATTTACTTTCTTTCTTTTTTGATGAGCACCACGAATATTTTCCATTAATTTGTTTGAAATTAAAGTTAGTCTAACAGGAGTTTCATCCGGTTAAATGATGACAAAGTGGACGTCTTAAGACATGTTTGAGCTGTTGTAAGCTGATAGTCGGAGTAATTTAGGAGGGGGGTTTGAAGTGAGAACTGGGGGCAGAAAGCAAATAAAAGAGATTTGGTGTTATTTGGTGAGTAATAGGGCCTCCAGTTACATTTCTGAACAAAACAAAACTAAATCTTCTTAAACGTAATTGACTATACAAACCAGATCGCTACCATGCAAGACGATCTATTGTTTAACACAGCTCAGATTTCCAAAGGGTTTTTTATTTTTTTTCCCGTACTTTTAATATTAAATGAGGGTGTTTTTTTTCCTCGCAGTTGCGTTTCGCACCTTTTTCACTCCAGTGCAAAATTCACGCCTTTCTGACCAGTACTTTGTTTTTGTTCTTTAATATATAAAGCGACTTTCGTAAAAGAGGGTGGAACTTGGGTGTCAAAGCAAAAAAATAAAAAGTTGAAAATCCCCTTGGTGCTATGACAGCTTTGAAGTGATAGATAAATCTACTTCGTATCACTTCTTTGAATTCTGACAAATCACGCCTAATTCAACTCGCCCCAGCCCTGACTGACTTCGCTCTCTTGCTCATGGTGTGGTATCCAGCGGGCTATTGAATTGGATACGAAACTGGTAGTCTTGTCTGCGAAAGGAAAATAAACACGGGCCTTCTTTGTGGCCGCGTCTAGGTACCGTCACAAATTAAAATAAGGGACATGAAACGTATGTAAGATGTTGTACACCACAGTCGATTGTCAAAGCGCAGTTCTTTAATTTTTTTTTACATCACAGTACTTTATATTAGACAAACATATTAAAAGTCGCTGCGACAACGAGTCGATTTTAGTTTATAAACCTGTATTGAGAAAAGATCAATTGTTTTCAATAGGTTTTCACATTCAGAACATTTTATTGACCGATTTGTTGGTAAGTTCGGGAACTGTGTACTCTTATCTCGAATGAGTTACATGATTTCATCATCTTGCTAATAAGGATGGGTGTTTGATAAGGCAGAGATGTCAGATAAGTATACTTTAACAAAACAAAGGTATTTCCTCCAATGCCTTTGTGAATAACCTTGCTTGATAAACGAAGCTTGTCCCATCCCTTTCACACAACTCTTTAAAAAGTGAAAGTTAAGTTTCAAATAGTTGTCATTAACGTGCAAAGAATAAGAATGTCCCAGAGTTACCCTTTATCTAATCAACGCATTGGGATAGGGATTAATTGAACGTCAGCTGCCTTTAAGGTCGCAGATACTTAAACTAAACCTTTGCACCTGGTTAGTTACAGCACGTTGGAAACCAAATTTACAAAACACGCTATTGGATAGGGTACATTTAGTCTATATTGTGTGGGATCCATTTGTCTTTTTTACATTGACATTTACAGGGAGCAAGCATTTTTTTCTATTTACTGTATGCATTTCCGTATAACTGAAAATATCCCTACAAAAGGGCGCCTACCAAGTAGGTTAATAATGATCATTTTCTAAAATATCAATGCGAGATGTGGAATATTGCATAGTAATCACACGTTAAAGAGACTTAACCTTTTACTAACCTAAGAATAAAAACATTGGTTTTGGATTGCAAGAAATATATTATTATTCTATACTGTATTATTTGTGGACATACATGGGTGTTGTATATGTCATTTGTATTTCAGCACCATGTCAGTTAAAAAAATAATGGATATATATTTTAAATAGTTTTTTTTATTTGCTTTGGGAAAAAGAACAGTTTTGCTTTCGGGGAAAGTTTTGTATGATCAGATATATTTAAGGTATGGCAGCAAAGTGCCCTAAAAATGAAAAAAGAAAAAGATTATCTCATAGTTTTTAAGTGTTCTGATTTATTTGGGTTTTTTCCTGCTTCATCAGTACATTCAGGTTTGCAATAAATAGACCACTTTTCAGAATTTAACTTAATAACATTTGAAAAAAGTGCTGTCTTGCTCCCTGCTTGTGTTATAATAAGGCATTTTATTACAGCCCTTTGCCTTGATGTGTCCTGAAAATTTGTTCAGTTACCAGATTCAAAGAAGGGCATATGAATTGTATAAGTGTAAGAAATTACAGAATAAATAAACAGATTTAAAAATGCCTCAAGCAGGATTACAGGATGGTTCTGTACAAGAAATATTAGTTGGTTTGAATCATTCGGAAAAGGTACTAGAGCAGGCAAATTTCTGTCAGTACATCAGTGATTTATAGTGGTGCTTTACACATTATTTCCCCTTGTTACTACAGAAATCAACATTGAGCACCAAGGCTTTGTTTAAAGCACTCCAAACTGCTCTTAATTAACGCTCAGGTTTGAACATGTTACCAGACACACTCACACAATGCTTTATCAAAGGACCAGCAGCTCTGTGGATATCCCTGCTGTTAATACAGTAGGTGAGCTGCAGTCTAGATCTTAAAGAAAAAGTGGCACCTAATGTTATGCTGTCTAGATTTTCGGCGTGTTTTTGTACTGAGGAAACAGGTGATATGACGTTCCTTGAAATTAACATTCAGGGAAAGACTTTTTAAAAAAACTTTTATAAACCTCTGATCCAAACGTTTCTGTCAACACTCTGTGTCAGTGACCTTCTGAGAGAAAGTGTCTATCAAATGACCTGTGTCAGACAATGACTTTATCCATGTGATTTGCCAGCTGCATTAATCATTTAAGGTTTTTTTTCTATCCTAAGTGTACAGTGCCATTTGGAATGACCGTGAGTAACAAAGCATTTTTTATCTGAGAAGGAGGACTTGGATACTCCTCTTTAGTCTACTTCACACCGAATACAATTTGACCTAAGCTTCTCAGACAGTGGGAAAAGACCAAAAGGAAGTATTTAACTTATTTATAGTTTTAATAGGCAGTAGCAAGTAGCAAGTTGTTTGTTACAAACATTCCAGGACATTAGTTTTTTTCTCCCATCTTACTTAAAACACTAATTTGCTGCTTGTCAGTGCAGTAACAAAAAAAAATTGCATTAACACTAGACTACATGGTCTTTTATTAAATGTGATCAGTCATTTTTTCAGATCTAAATGATAGAAAAAAAGGTGCGTGCTGGAATCGCATGGACATTTAAATCAGCAAGTCCACACCTTCTTGGCTAAATTCTGATGTCAATGGAAATTGGCCTGAACATTTGTCTGGAGAAGTCATTCCAATTCCCATTATGTAAATGTGGGAATTAAAGTTCTTGATTAGCTTTGGATGCTGACATCTGAATGGGTGAGCAGTAAAAGGCTTTGGGCTGAATACACAAAGCTCATCTCCGCCGCATTAGAGCAAGAGTTTTCTTTCCCCAGAATGCAGACAGTAGCTGTTTTGATTTTATGGTAACTGTTTTTAATTTTTTTCAGACAGTGAATTTTTGTTTTATTTTGTTAACAAAGGTACTTGGGTTGTTTCACCAATGTTGAGTAAAGATTCAAAATGGGAGTTTGTTTCCTGGTTGTTTGTGTGTCTAATTGCCACTTCAGTACAAATCTGGGAACAATCTTGAGTTCAGTAGCTTGCTCAGGGCCTAATTCAGCAGGACCTCACTCCTTTACCTTCCAGCTATCCTGACCACTGC